AAAAAAAAAAAAAAAAAAAAAAAAAGATTTAAAATGCGGAATCTATGAATTGATTTCAAGTGAGCAGATAATGTCCATAAACTTGTCACAAACTTTTCACTTGTCTGGCTGCACAAAATGTGCCACAGCCAAAATGTTGTGCCAAATCAACTAAGGACTCCTTTACCAAAATACTTTTGAATATTGTCTCTAAAACTGAAGCTTGACAAACCATTGAAAATAAATTTGAAATGGCATACTAACATTAAATTTCTGATAAGATCCTTTGTGATAACTTGGACAGTCTCCTTCTTGTTCTTCCCACTGCTCTTCTTCTTGGCACTTCTTGGTTCGCTTTCTTGAAATAAATAGTCATTCCCATCGCTGTATCCTTTTAGATCTCTCTGAGCGGCTTTGTTTGGTGTACCAAATAAACTTTCATCAACCTGAGAAGTGTAACTCACAACTCGGTAATTTTTTGTCTTTGCCCTTCGGGACGCTGATGAAGCACTGCTGTGCGTAGCTGCACTGATGGCACTGCCAGGCTGAAAGAAACGGTTGATAATCAGATTAAGTTATTTTATACATAAAAAAACAAATTATGATGGTATTTAATCAAGCAGAATATGTACTTAAATAAAATGGGTGTACAAATTCACATTATATAATACAGTACTCTGGTACATTTTTTCTTCTACCTTTCTTGTTACATGTATCATATTCTTCCGTCACTTTAACTCACTTAATATAATCATAAAAAATAATTAAAAAACTAACGGCCTTGCTGCGATCCACGACATTTTAAGCAACAGACGAATAATTATTTATTTTACAAACGACTACAAGAAGAAATGGTAGAAAATGCAACACATGTACTTATTTGTTCTCCAAATCTCTTGCAGTACTTACCGAATCAGATATCACCAATGAAAATAGTACAAGATTTTCAAATATTTCTTTCACGATTGATGTAATTAATCAATGTGCACGAGAGGAACATAATTATTTTACTCACCATTATGTTGTAGATCTTACGACGTCTTTAATTTTTCTACAAATTCCTATTTTTACAAACGCAGTCTTTCCCCACTGTCAGCTCACAACACTACAATGTCGGATATTTACGTATAGTCGTCAAGGAGACCCAAAGCGACACCTATCGTTGAAAGTGGCGTATATGCGGAGTGATTTTTTCTGTTTAGCAAATCAACAAAATTACAAATAAATTTCGATAGAAATATTTCATAAAACAAATATTTTGTATGTACGTGCTACATTATCTCAGTTGCTATACACAAAATTGGCATTAATTATATTTTTTCAAAGAGAGATTTGTTTTACAGAGCGGATAAAGAAAACCAGAAACGTTGTTAGTGGGTCAACTTCCGGTTGTATAACACATGGGTGATTTTCCAGTGTAATTTATTGACACTGGTCGAACTCACTGGAAATATGTCAGCTACAAGTTTCACAAAACTTACCAAGCATTTGCATTTGAGGCACATCAAGCGTAAGTGTTTTTTTTTTTCACAGCACATTTTAATGTCGTTTTATTTTTCGTCTCAAACGTTATATTTTCACAGCTGATGTTTATTCTTTTGATCATTGATGGTTATCATTCAATGTCTACGATATCTTACCTCTTAAAGCCCAAGGGTAATATTCTCGACCTCTCTCTGTCTCTCTCTCTCTTTCTTTTGCTGACGCGCACGTAGTGCACCGTAGCATACACACGAAGGCATTTCATCCTTATACGACGTGTCTGTTTCTAAATTGACGTAAGAAACATCATTGGTGAGTCAACCTTTCAGATCAGTCATATCTTGCTGCAACATACATTATTATTTTTAACATTTTTCATTGTTAATTTATTTTATTGTCTTTTCTTTGAAGGCTGTTACTGCAGTTCAACATCAAAGCTAACAAATTCAGAAGTGAGAGAAAAACGAAATGCTCTGTTTGATGAGGAAAGAAAAAGGCAGCTTTCTCTGATAACAAGGATAGAAAAGATACGTGTAGAACATATAGGACCTCCTGAGAACTGTACACTGATTATGAATAAAGGACTGTCAACACCATTTAACTGTGCAGCACGTATGTATTATGATTTTAAGTTAGACGTAGTACTGTATTCACAAAAATAAGAAATTGGAAATTTGATTTTTCTTTGTGATAACCCACGTAAAGAGACTTGAGACCCCAGTCAAAATTTGGCAGGTAATTTTTTCTAGCCTTTTTCTCACAACCCAAAATCATGTATTGAAATATTTCTGACCAGAAGAAATTTTTTCTCTACAAAAAACATTTTCGAAATCAATTCCAGACATAGCTGAATATTTAACAGTGCGTTCTGCAGTTGCGCTTGTAAACAACCAGCCATGGGACATGCATAGACCACTTACGGAAGATTGTGAACTTAAGTTTGTTCATTACAGAGAAAATGATCCATATCATGCTAATAAGGTAGGTGAGAGTCTGAAAATCATGCAAATAATATGATAAGGAATATGTGATTGAATACAGATATTTGCATATTATTAGTGATCAGTATGAAAGAAAAATCTGAAAATAGGGATCAGCATTATTTTTTTATAAAGACTGTAGAAAATGATATACTGTTTATGTTTAGATGTTGAAATAAATATTAAGACTGCACCTGATCATAATGTGGATAGTGTACTATTGTAACTTGTAACTGTATTATTTCCAACATGTTGAAAAAACTTATTTCTAAAGTTTTGTTGGTCATCATTTTGTGATAATTTCAGGCTTACTGGAAATCATGCTCTTTCATCTTGGGTCATATTCTTGAGGTTGCTTTCCAAGACCAGTATTATACAGAACTTTGTAGTTTTCCTCCACCATATGGTGAGTGATAGACATTAATAAGAATATCTGGATTAGTGTGTGTGTGTGTGTGTGTGTATGTGTGTGTGTGTGTTTTACTTGTTCTAAGAAACATTTTTTTAGCTCAAGAGAAAAGAAAATTATTTGGTTGCTTTTAATAATATTAATACACCCATTGATAATAATAATTATTTCATACTGTCACATTTTGTTGGTTTTGTAAGTCATTAGATTTTTTTGTTCATGAGTTTTTATTTCATAGATATTTTTGAAAAATTCCAGTACCCAGTGGGAGCTTTGTCTATGATGTGAAAATCCCTATTCCAAATTGGCAGCCAAGTCATGTAAGATAATTTCTATAGGTTTTCATTTCAGAATATAAAATTGGTACCAAAAACATAAAGTAGATATGGAAACGCGTACAAAATAATATTATTGGATAAAAATAGAATTAAATTTGTTTTGGAATAATTATTTTAAGAGAATGGATAAGAACAAGTGTATATTTTGAAATCTAGGAAGAACTTCAGTGTATGGGACAGATTGGAGCAAAACTTGCTGGAAAAGATTGGAAGTTTGAATGTTTAGATATTGATGAAACTCTTGCCCTGAAAATGTTTGAAGATAACAGGTAAGCCATCTAAAATAAGGTCAGTTTCAAAAGGGAAATTTTTTCATCTAAGAAAACAAACTTCTTGAAATTATAATATGGTTCTTATAGTGTTCTTTACATCAGTAGAATTGGAATTATTTATCTTTTTACTTTAAACTGAAAATCTAGTTCGAACATGGGGTCATCTCTTCCTTCTTTGTTGTAGCCAATGTAAGTTATGATAAAAGTTAGAAGAAATTTTGTTTTGTTAAAAATGATAAATTTGCAGTAATATTTTAATATTCACATTTTCCCAAGTTAAACTACATCCTATAATACCTTTTCTTGAAAAAAAATTGTTAGCTGAATCAGACGTGATTTGAGAAATTGATTCATCGAATTATTGACATTATTCAGGTTTAAGACACAACAGATCCCCAACATGGCAGCTCAGAACAAGGGTGGCAAGATCCGCGTGTACAGGATGGGTGACCACCTGGACATCAGTAATGGACCTTTGATTTGCAGGACCTCACAGATTGGGAGATTTGCCATAACAGCTGTGAGTATCCTGATCATTGCCTTGGTGGAAAACTTTTAAGAATGTGGGACTAGTGTTGAACTATGTAGAAAAAGGCCACTGGATCCAGAAAGCATTGGGGTTGTTAGTGGCATGTCTGGAAATTACAAAGGATGTCACTGTGGTTACACAGTTTGTTGGTTTGATTTTTATAGAGCTTTTTACTCTCAAAAGTACCCAGACTGGAAAAAGAGCTGGAGAACAAGTTTGTTAAAATATTGTGTAAAGCTAGAAATACAAAGGGTTCAGTCACTTTCAGAGATGTAAATAGAAATAGAATTATGTTGTTCATGAACAAACTTTTAAGTATATTCTCAATTTTCTACTACAAGTATGTGATATATACCTTATTATCAATAATATCTTACCATAATGTCAGATGCTGGGTCTACTTCAAAAGAAAAAAAATCTTCACTAGTTCACAAGCAAAGGGACCAAATATGAACTTGCTCCTCAGTATAAATTGACTAAAGAGGTCAATATCACACACTGATATTGGATATCTTGGTTAAACCATAATGCATTCTCAGTAAGATTTCTTTCTTTTTCTGCAGTTTCACCCCATATCAAGCCCAGACTTTGGTGAACTGACAAGAGTGCAGGGTCTCTCAGTGCCATCACAGGTCTTGGTAAGTCAAATTCACCACCTCATCATAATGTTGGCTTGGTTGTTTTGTCACTGTGTTTTCAAATTTTTTATTGCCTCACCTAAAACATCACATATTCAATATGTTGCCGTATCATGTATACTGTTACATCATGTATCCCAGAGGGCCATGTGTAAGAAAGGTATATGCACTTAGCATGCTTTACCCATTAAGTTTATTATTTTTGTTATTGTTGTTGTAACAACATAACAACATGTTGTTGTAATAACATGAACAACACTGACACCACCAGAGTATGGTTTTATTGCATGTGATCACAGTGGCTTCTTAAACACAGTCAGCCACATTTGTCACATACAACACAGTATCGCATTCAGTTCACTGTCACCACTTTATACTGACACATATACCACCTTCTTTGTAACCGTTTTAAATTGGGCTTGGTTGTATTCAGGGCTTGACACAAACTTTTTTCGATACTGGCCTGAGATATCAGTAAATATTGAAAGGATGATTTGACACATGACATTTTACTTACTTTTTGGGCCAGTGACCTCAGTGATTCAATGGCCCTAGGTTGGTTTTCAGTGGCCCAGGGTCAAGCCCTGGTATTACATATTAAAGAGTGATCAGAATGCAAACAACGATAGTTTTCCTTCTGCTGGTGTTTGGAGGGACATCTACCAGCCGGAACCTCCAGAAACACGACATTGTATCAGCTTCTGATGGAGAAAACTTCATTGTTTTAGGCATATACCAAACTTGGTAACCTCTTTGTCATTGATAGTAAGATTGTAAAGTGTAAGTCTGATTTGATCCGTGTAGCATTACAAGGTAATATTTTAGGGTCCTCAGATTCACAAATTTTCATTTCAGATCAATCACTGGACTTTTGATTTCCTGGCCAAACGTGCAGAAAAATATGTGAGTATAACTTTTTGAGAAAAAGAAAAAGCCGATAAAATATATATCCTTACTTTTTATTTGTTTTGAGCAGAGTGTCAGAGGTAACCAAACCTTATTTCCTATATTTGACAAAAGGACTATTTATATTTCAGAATGAACATGCTTCTTTGCCAGCAATGAGAGAGCCACCACCAGTCAAGGAAGAGGTGCAAGAAGAGGAGAAGGGATATTTTTGGCGTTTATAGAGCTTGAACAAACACTAGAGGGTTAGAAAAGGAGTACAACAGAGAGAAGTGTATCAGTTTTGATAACGTAACTGTAAATGTGGCAATCAAACCCAGGGTCAGGAATTTAATAAAAGGTGTTTCGAAAATGAAACTGTGGAGTTTTCAGTATAATTTGCTGAGGGTTTAGGGACATTTTATCCTGGATTTTACAATGAGACAATTTCATTCATGAAAGTTTGTGACAGTTGGAATCCCAAACCAAGTGCTTGTTATGCGCTTATTGTTGCCAGAGGTTGGACTTTTTCAGAGACAGTGGTTGCTTCTGCTGAACTCCAAGACCCCTGGCTGCTCTTCCAGCATATGGCAAAATGTCAATAAGTATATTGAGAAGAGGATCTTGCCAACAGATGTGAAAGAACATGGGTGCAGAAAAGAAATGAGTGGGAGAATCTTTTAAGTCAATTCATACCGAGGTGCAAAGAAAGCACAGTTTTTAAGAGAAAATTTAATGCTGAAGGAAAGGACTGAAAAAATATGAAATAGTTTTTTTTTTCACTGATGAAAAAAAAAGGATGCAGATGGTTTGAAAGTTTTGATTAGGTTATGGTGAAAAAAATGAGAGCCTCGGTTAAATTTATATTGCTTTTTTCAAGTTTCTGACACCCCAAATAATATCAAGGATATGATTATATAAGTTAATATTATTTTATTGAATTTAAAAGTAATTAAATTAACAATCAATTATATGAAAGCTATGATGAATGTATAGCTACCCACTGACATACCACTACCAAAATCTAGTGGTAATTATTAAATTTCAAATAATTCACTTATGCTAGTTTCTAATATTTACTGCAAAAAATAACATTGGAACAGTTTCTATAAAAGTTGTACCCAGATGTGGATCAGTTGCTCTTTGGAACTTTCATACATATTCATTTATTTATGTTTATTTTTTTTCTTTCTTTTTCTTTTTTTTTTTTGGGGGGGGGGGGGAGGGGGTAAAAGAAAAAGATATTTGCGCACATAACTGGTTTTATATGAAGCTTGAGAGAAGGTACCATGCTGCTAGGCATTTGGCAGAAACACAACTCTGAGAAGTTATATTAGTGAGGCAAGCATTGGGGGTTTGCATCCTCCCAAGAATGGAGACTGGGGGCAAATTTAAAGATGCATTTGAAGTATAACTTGTAAAAGTAGTATAACTTGTAAAAATAGCAATAGACATTGTTTCATATTACCTGAAGTGATATTTGAACTGATATTTTGTACTTACTTTCTGTGCTGTATATAACCGGAGCTAAGAAGTAGGTCAGTCAGTTTAGGACCAAAATTAGAAGGTGCAGTCTTTAAGCTCTTTTATGGTTGAGCAAATTGGTAATTTTGTTCCTCCCTTAGCATGTCTAATTTATTCGAGTCGTAGAAGAAACCAGTAGAAGCGGTTTGTATGTACTACTGTGAAACCACACTTACTTTACATGTAACCTTGAGGAGAATGTATTTTTATGATAAAAAATGAAATCCCACAGACACTGCAAGTCAGTGGGAATTACAAGGTGGTGTTAGAGGTTTATTATTATGAATTATGTCAAAGAGAAAAAAATGAATCTCTACAAGTATTTGAGAATTTTTTTCAAAAGTTGGACATTGTTAAATGGAATAACAGAGACATTTGACATGCTGTTCCTTATTTTGGAACTTAGTACAAGAGACTCTGTACTTGTACTCGTATAAATAGGGTCTTGAACTCTAAGATTATGTAACAGAGGTGAAAGTCTTCTGTATTTATGCAGATATTTGGGCGTATTTATGTCCCGAGGTCTATTATATACCTTGGTGGGGCTGTGAATCTTCAGTACTTGAATTTTCAGAATTTTTTTCAAGGTCCACTTTTAACCCCACACAAACTTATTTCAAATATATCATGCAATTATTTTTATTCTACTTGGGACTTTTATAAATGAATCAAGGCTTAGGAAGCTCAGAATAAAAATAACTAATGTAAACAATATTGAAATGTTTTTCAGTCTTAAATTTTGGAACTTGAAATAACAAATCAAACAACATTCTTGTACAAGGCAATTGGTGTGCATTTAGAAAAAAACGGTATTTGGCCAAGTTCAAGGTTTCAGTGCATTGCCATTTCATTTCCTGGAGCAATAAAAATAAACTGAGCTACCAGAGGTACTGATTCCAATTTACTAAAGAAAGTAGACAACATGCCTGGTAAAATGTACACCACCCCTTCCAAATGATCAGTAAATATGTGCCACTAGTTTCGATGAAGTAACTTTTAAATGAAGCAAAAAATCTCAATCCACTCCCCCCCCCCTTCCTGATGAGCAGTAAATATATACCACTTATTTTGATTTACTTTTAAGTGAGGCAGGAAATCTCATTCCACTTTTCCTACATTACACTATGTTAAACATCTAAACAGGAATATTAGAAAAGGTGACCAAGACATTACAACAAGGCCAGATTGAGTGAAAAAAAAAGCCCTTTTGTAAGTCCTGTCATGAAGGCTACTAAGGATAATGACATGTTTACCATGTTTTCACCTTCATTAAGTAAATATTCATCTGGAGCTCAGCTCTAGATTGCATTTCCATAAGAAGTTGAACTTAGACATGAGCCTCACATAACACACCAATGTGTTCAAAACATTTTGTTTTATTAACATAAAACTCAACAATCTCATAACCTCAATTTGATAGAAGTAGGCAAGGCTTCCAGCAGAATATTCATTTCCCTACATTACATGCATATAAAGCAGGGCTCATAGCCCAGTTGCCAATTATAAAACTAAAACTCTTCATCTGATTTTGATATTATACTGTTTTTTTTATCATTCGTCAGTTTGCCCCAATCACGAAGTAATATCGAAAGCTGATAATCTGATGACACTCCTCAGGTACAGGAATACCTGAAACATATTTTCTAGTAATAGCATCTTAGATGACACAAAAAAAATTAGAATTACAAAAAGTTTTAACCCTATTGTTTGACAAAAAAAGCACTGTAACTTGATATAATGTACATAACTGATGTTGAAAACTGATCATTCTAATTATGTATCAATTACTTTCAGTTGTTATACCTTGGTATTCATTTGTACATTATTTCTTGATTTAAGAGACAAGTGAAGAAGTGAACATAATTCTATCAAAGAATCAGTAAATCTAAATGAATTAATAGTGTCTAACAATTACCTTTACCACAACATAGCATACTAGTAATACTGAATCTGATTCATTCAAATATCACTTTTTTTCAAAGGAGAAATCTGTCAAGTTCTTCAACTCTTTTAGAATTTTTTCATGTTTTTGCTTTTCTATTTGTGTCTTCCACAACTTGGAGTATGCAAATCTTAGTTTTCCATTTTTATTGGGATTTCTTGCACAAAAACGATAATCATGACTAAAAATCTGATTTAAACCTTCAGCCACTGAAACTCCCTGTAAAACTTTTTCTTTATCCAACAAACTTAGTGCCTGCTGCTCAATTTCCATTCTACCTTGCCTGGACTTAAACACGCTACAACGGATATCTAAATATCTATGCACAAGAGCTTCATACTTTGCCAGCTCTTTTAGTTTCTGTCCTTCTTCGTATGTTGCTTGTGCCTCTACCCTTTGTAGCTCGTCCATCATGATCTCCTTCATGCGTCTACGGTGACCCTCAACTTGTAATACTTCTTTAAAATCAACATCTGCAATACTCTTAAATTTCTCTGTCTCTTGCCTCTTCTCAAATTCTCCAAGGTCAGCTGAATATTGGATCTTTGTCTTCTCCAACTCGTTCTGATATTTCTCTTGCGTTGAGGCGACTAACTCAAGAAGTTTTTCCCTCTCCTTTTGTCTGGTTCTCTTTTCACCTTCCTGCATTGCTGTAAGAGAAGCAAGATTGGCATTATGTATGGAATTTACAGTACAATATTGGCCCACCTAATTTTTCTCTTCTTTTTCTTTGACATCCATGGGTACAAACAGTTTCTATGCCTGATCCCATATTTTGACGCTTTCACACAACCTATGCTCTCCCACTGTAAAAGTTTCATAAAGATTTTCTTTGACTATATCACATTCAAATAAAATTTTCCGTACAATCTCATGCAGAAATTGCCCACATGCAATTAAGGCATTGATTACATAATTTTTTTTTTCAAACAAGAATCTCATGCAGAAATTGCCCACATGCAATTAAGGCATTGATTACATAATTTTTTTTTTCAAACAAGAATGTAATTATTTTTCCAAAAGCAACACTTTATTCAAGCATAATATTTGAATAAGATCATTAGCTGATTCACATATCAAATGAAGTAAGGAAAATGACAAAACTTTAAAAAAATAAAATGCTGAACTATGAGATAGGTTTTAAATTTGTGAATTACTTTGTACTGCCACATGGAGTATTATTAATAAAATATTTTTTTTTACAAAATATATATCCACTTCAAAGAAATTGTGGAAGACCAAAACAAAACAAAACAAAAAATTAATGAAGTATATTGGGGGAAAAAAATAACATGGTGTTTAGTAGAACTGGGGAGAAAGAGAGCAGATGCAGCATGTGAAATATGGGGAGAGGCCTGAGTGACAGCTGCAGACAAAATTGATTAGAGAAGTTCCATTGCCATGGGTACCAAATTTCTCTAAGACTGGGTTCCCCTAAAGCTATCACACTAGCAGGATATGTCCATCTCCGAGGGGATTCTCACTAAATTGCATTCTGTTTACCTGTCATACCCACTGAAGCTGCTAGGGGGGTAATAAACTTTCATGCGCACTTAAACTGAATACAATTTAGCGAGAATCCCCTCAAAGATAGATTGATCTGGCTTGTACGATAGTGTTATGGGAAAGGTCCCTAAGCTCTTGACACTACCCAGATCATGTGTTTACTGACCAATCAGTATCAGGCTCAGCAGTGGCACAGCAAACTGCAGCACCATGTCTATCATCTGACTGCTGACCGGGCGGTTGGGATTATTGCTGAAGCCTGGGTTGTTCAAATCGTTGTTTGCCACGATATTTACATCCGGTGGAATGTTGAACTCTTGGCTCCCTCTCCTGCCTTCTGCAGGGCCAGCAGTTATATTCCCCATAGTTTTTTTATTGCCCAGCCCTATGATAATAATAATAATAATAATAATAATAATAATAATAATAGCCTTTTAAAACATTAATTTATCAATAGTATAGAATACATATATTGCAATATTTTCAACAGTTTCAGATAGGATATATAGAGTGGAAGAAAATTCTTGAAATCCAGGGAAAATTTTGGCGTATACTGGTAAATTATATACTAGGTGATACATGTAGGTGATGCTACACTTGTGTCAACTGATCAACTAAGAACTTCGTTACAAATTTTTGTGGAACTGGTGTACGTACTCAGTATTACTCACGTACAGTAGATTTTTTTTTTTTTATTTATAAGAATAAATGCATAATTGTATCTTAAGTTCCTTCTAAAACTTGATCAATAACTTGAGTAAAATTATACACACACACACACACAAACATTTGAGGTTCAGTATTTTAAACAGAAAGTTGAAATGACATGTATTTTTTAAATTAAAAAATAAAATTATATTGCTGTTGTTCTGGACCCCCCCCTTCAAATAATCCTGGGTCCGCCCCTGTAATTGTCATGATTTCAGCACCACGAGACGGTATGTTTCAGTAAAGCAGACGGTTAATGCAACACTTCACAAAGAACGTCTCAGAAGCTACATGTAGTGTAGTAATTGGGGAATTACCGTGACAAGAGAAATTGCAAAAACACTGAAATGGCTTCCAACAACTATGGTCTTGTTTTCTCCTAGGACACAATATACCATATATTGTGTCCTAGCTGAAAACAAATCTCTGTCTCAATTCAAATCCCACCTTGCCTCAGTTTTCATGCGGCCGTTTCATGCAGTTTTCAGTCACGCAAGGGAGGCAAGATGTCACCTTGAGTTGAACGACCTTGGAGGGACATCTCAGACCAGAAGGAAAAAGTCATCTCAGGCCAGAGAGTTTCTTATCACGCTAATTATTCCACTTTTCATTTTAATAACAATAATAATAATAAATTTTAGTTTGGGTGAGATTCACTTAACGGACTCTCAGTGGTAGGTGGGGTCAAACAATACAATAAGTTAAATTACACATGACCAGATTTCTGATGATAAAATTTAAATCTTTGAATTGGGAAATGTATAGAACAAATGTATTGATCAAACAGCTTTGAGGTATGTAATATAACAAAATCAATAAATTAGATAAATAAATACATAAAATATATTTCACCTTAAGCCTACAGTAGCTGTTTCACAAATTTGACAATTTGCAGCTACAAGTGTTCTACTTTATGTATAATTGACAAAGAATAATTCAAATATAAATTTAGAGTAGTTCCAAATCAAAGTAATACTATGCTATACAGACAACAATAAAAATTCTAGTGATTTTTAAAATTTATTTTGGCCCAACATATTGTCGGCTGACACCAGATTTTTCTCAGATGCTTTCTGACAATCTTATGGCCTGATATGACACGTCCGTTGTCTCAACCCGAGCACTTGTCAATAACGACGATGGGTACGTACGGATGACAACAAATAACGACAAACGAGATCAGGTACTTGCCGCAAGAGGTCACTGGAGAAGCTCATTGCATATTCAGCAAGCAAAATGTCGAGAAGAAAATTATGATATTTTGCAGTTTCAAAAACCGCAGCGAGAATTTAGACAGCTCAGGCGGTTTAAAGCGTTCCCATTAAACGATAGCAGAGATGGTGAAGCGAAAATCTAGCGATAGTCATGAGGGAGAGTCCGATAATTTTGTGCCGCTGCCGGTACAGTTGTTTTTCTGGAGACAGACGAGGTATTTTCTGTGTTTACGTATTTGGTCATTTTGATAATCATATGCGATACCATGCCAGATGCGGGCAGTTTCATATTGCCTTCATATTTGGAATACTGCTTGGGTTGTTTTATTAAGTAGGCTAAAACTGACTTAAATTGGCTAAAAAAAAGTGCTTGCTTTGACTAGTTTTTTGACCATTTAGATAACAAATTGACAAAAAAGTGGTGATTTGGCTAAGGACAAAAAATTGCTAGCGCTACCCCAGAGTGTGTTTCTAATTGATGCAAATTGTCAGCCAGATATCTTATATTGGTTTTGTATTAATAAAACATGAGGTAGACCTGAAAATAATAAAAAGTTAAATGATAAAATAATGTTAAGAAGGCCAGGTTGGTATTTTGTTGCGAATCTGAGGAAGTATGGCTACTAGTATATAGAATATACATTTTCAGTCATTATGCTGTAACTGCTATTCATTTGGCATTTACATTTATGATATTGTCATTTCAGCCCATTCATCAGGGCCAAAATGGGGAAGCTGTGTGATGCCTCCTGTGTAGTAAGTCTTTTTTTTTTAAGGCGACAGGCATATTAATTTACAGACTTGATAAATTTACCATTATGATGAAAGCCTGTAAATTATTCATCCATTGAATTTATGTGCCATGGTCAGGACAACATAGTTCAACAAAGTTTAAAATCTATAACATATAATAAAAGTGACACCAACAGTCATTTTGCTAATTGTACATGAAAGAATATTAAAGGTTTAGAATTTTTCATTAATATAATTTAAACAACTATCCCATGTAATTTGAGGATGAATCATTTATAGTAATGTAAATATTTGGCATATTTCAGTCATTTGAACGAGTTCTGGTCCAGAACATCCTTCATGGCTTATCTCCCAGCTTGTGTGAGGCAATGCAGAAAATTCCAAGATGGCGACTCGTTCAAGCAGCTTTCCCTCATGTGCTCACCTGCTGTGCAGCAGTCTTAGCCAAGCGCAAGCAGTCTTATCCCGATGCCAAATTTGGTCAAAGCGAGACCAAACTCCTTTACACGCTCCACTGGGTCGTGCTGGACGCGGCATCCGAGTGTGAGGACAACGATCCGCATGAAAGTGGGAGTTCCACTGCTAGCCTTATCCAGTCCCAGCTCCATGATCTAAGTGCAATACAATTATTTGTATACCTTTTTGCTCCATTGGTGTGTTCTGTCCACGAGCAAGATTTCCAGACTCTGAAACTGGAACGGGGATTGATGCTGTGGGAGCCCCTATGGGAATGTCGACAGCCAGACATACCTTGCTTCTTGACGCCAGTTAAGCCAAAGAGGACCATACTCAAAGCAGTCCGGCAGAAGGAAAATCGCATCAAGTCTAACATTGCTGATATTTATCTGGGGAATGGAGAAGGGCCGAGCACACCAGAAGATATGTTTCTGGGCTTCCCCTCAGCTGCCAGTACTTCTGGTATGGCGGCCATTGCTCAGACACCAGAAGGACCCCCTTTGGCACCCCTTGCGAGTATTAGTGAGGTGAGATAGTCAAGTGATGTATGAAATGCTAGGCCCCCCTTCTCTCTCCCCCTCTCTCTCTCTCTCTCTCTCTCTCTCTCTCTCTCTCTCCCCTGAATCCTTCTGAAAATGCACCTCTTTCTTAGAATCTCTTCACTTTTGAGTCAAACATTTTAGTCCTCCTTGTCATTTTTGTTGTCCCTATGCCTGTCCTGTTAACTTAAAACAGTCCTGAAACTCACTGACATGATGTTCTAAGGTATTAAAGTCATTACAGAGGACTATGAAAAATGAGTTGTGTAAAATTGTTTTTGAAACCCTGCACACTTTGTTTTTAGATATTTATAAAATGTACATTTTTTGTATTTCAGATATACACAGAGTCGATATCAGATGGCTCAGCAGTTTTTATTCAAAACATCTGTGAAATCTGCAGATCTCCATCTGTCAGCCGCGATGGCATGAGTCCCACGTGCAACTGTAGCCGCAGGGTAAGCGATGACGTGTTTTTGCGTCCTCAGTTACGCCAATCTCTGAGTGTACCGGAAAGTTCAGAGTACACACAAGAAGAGGATCAAGGCCAAGAACATGAACATGAAGAGGAGCAAAATGTGGCAGATGATATTCTTCTTGCAACATACTTCGACGTTGCTGTTCTGCAATGTCTGTTCTGCCCACGTTGGGATGAGGATGGAATCTTCTGGGCTCTCGGCTACATGCATAAGAGACTCCTGGATATTTGTGATGAACTGGCTCGCCACGCAAATGTTCGTCGGCGAAGCCAGTCCCTCCCAGTTCCAGACATCAAGGTGCTCGACCCTCCGACCTTGACCCTTCCCACAACCCTCCTGGGCAAGTTGGAGGAGATGCCTACTGCAGCTGCAGCTGCTGCTACGGAAACAGATCAAGAGTTTTTAAAACATGCTAATTTCCATTTGGACAGCATGAATTCTTGTCAGCATAAAAGGGAGTACCAGCAGCCAAATAAAAAGAGGTGTGAAGAGGGTGAGTGACACTTTAAATTTGTAAGTCTTGTTTCTGGTTGAGTTGGGGCATTCTGTATTATTACAATACGTACTGATGATGAGGATGAATATCAGTTTCAAAATTTAAGTCATGTTCTCATTCAAATCAGGCTGACCCTCTGTCAGTTAAGTCTTACCAATGGGGTGAATCTCAAATTGAAAACTTAAACTATGTTTCTAGTCAAGTTTGTCACAATGGCATGGTAGCAATTATCTACTGATAAACATTGTAAATCCAGAAATAAGTTTTTAAATTTTGTGTAATATAATATCCGTAAATCTCTTTATCCACCTTCAGGGCATATTGGTCATCATGGGCTTCACCTGGGTCATCATCACCCCCCTCACCCCCACCACCCGCACCCCCACCACCCCCACCCTCCCCCACCAGACCTCCACCAGCTAATGGAGAACTCCTCTGTGGTAGGCAACATCCTGAAGCCCTTCTCGGCCATGGCCGGGTGTGGAGAAAGCACCAGTGAAGAGTCCCTGACAGAGACCTTGAAGAAAAAGGGTGGCACATCTTCTTCCCTGAAGACTGAGAAGGTAGGATTTGGGATTGTACTAATGAAACAGACTTATGTTTAATATGATTTTATGTCTGTTATGTGACAGTATGTGTGTGACATTGTGTGCATGTTTGGATATCTGTGTATATTGTATATGACTGCCTGTGCATGTGTGTGTGTGTGTGTGTGTGTGTGTGTGTGTGTGTGTGTGTGTGTGTGTGTGTGTGTGTGTGTGTGTGTGTGTGTGTGTGTGTGTGGTGTGTGTGTGTACGTGTGTGTGTGCAGTGTGAGTGTTTGG